AAAAGGAAAATTAAGGGATGTAATTAATGTTATTTAAAACCTGTCTTCCAGATGTCTTCTCTGTTTGTAGAAGAAAATCAACACATCTTTTGCCATTTCAGATTTCATCTATAGAACAAGAGAGCTGTCTTTCCTTTATATAACATATACTAATAGGAAAAAAAATCCCCGAGGAGAAGTGGGGAAAAAGAACACTGGAATATTTCATTGCAGTAAAATAAATAGATAAATAAGAGAAAGAGAAAGAGAGAGACAGATTAGAAGTAGGGCTTTATAAAACACAAGAGCCAAAACCCACTTTCCTGTGTCTCCTAAAGGAAATATCAGTACATTGGCTAGTCTACATTTCATTATCACTTCATGGTATAGTTGTTGTTGTTTTCCCCCATAACCCCCCATGCTCCTTTCATTTAAATTCTCTGGGACCAAAATCTGTTAATGTATTTATTGTATGCTTCAGGGTTATATTCAAACAGTAACAACTTGTATGAATGCATTAAATTATCCTGAAGAATGCAAGCACAATTTAAGATGCTTCTGGCCTAAATTATTAATGAGGTTACACACCATTAGTGGTGGAATTCATTTGCACAATTTACCCAAAAATAGCATAGAATATATGTAAAAATGGATGTCCCATGGTTTTCTTTTTCAGTGAAACGTCTGTAATGCTCACTGTAGTAAGCTCACTATTTCTACAGCTTTAACAAAGCAGGCATCTGAAAGAGGAGTTAAATCAGCTGAAACCAATGAAGTGATAGGCACATCCCTTGCTGTATGACTACTTTCAGATGTATAACACAGGCATGCCTGTGTTTATACAGCATAGGCAAAACTCTGTGTCACTGCATGAGCTGAGTTGCATTCAAACAGAAGAATTCCTTTAGCTTTCTGAATATTTCTTCCAACCCCCTTACCTCTGATGCTTGTTAGCTTAGTATTATTAATTATGCAATGTTATAGTTAGAAGACCTAACTCAAAATACTTCTCAATCATCATCTATCCCAACCACAGTAATACATCTACAAGAACATTCACCATTTTCAGAGAGAAGACAGGCAGACATTAGAAGGCAAAATTGTAAAATCTGGTCCTGTTGATTAAACTGCCAGCACTATATAAATAAAACAAATGATATTAATAAATAATGGACAGCACCAATAACTGTAACTTTTGCAGCATATACAGAGAATGGATAGATCTGATTAAATGGTGATTTCTGAAATATGAAATTATTAACAAACTAAGCAATAATTCATAATAAAGTACAAATAAGCAAAGGTGTCCAGTGCAATTGCTCATCTACATTACTTACATGAGCACATCCTTTCAGATTACCTTGTACCAGAGCTAAGATTATGCTGCAGGAACAGGAATTTTTGAGAGAAAGTTGCCTGTGCTCCCATACCAGAGTGATGTCTACAGTCTGCCATTATTGAAACATATTAGGACAGTCAATTAATATTCCTTTAAAGACATTCTTCCACATCTAACATGCACAATACTCTGGGCTGTTGAAATGCATAACTCACATGTAAACTAGTAAAAAAACAATCACATGAGTTTTAGGTTTTCACACTAATGGATGAAAAATTTATTGTTTGTAGTTAATGTACTCATTGTAAATACAAATACTGATTTGTATTTAATACTGTATTTGTATTTACTGATTTGTAAAACTCAACTGTAAACCTTGTCACTCTTGAATTTACCTTTCATTAAATAAATTGCCAGTCAGTTCTTTGCTTTCCTTTTTCTGTAACAGTCCAGACCTTACCAAAGAACATTCCTCTGTTAAAGCTTTAAAGAGATTTGCCCACATAAAGACTGAGTAGGGGTCTAGGGGATTTGGACTAATAGCTGTAACATGATAATGTTAGAAAGTTGTCAGGCTGTCAAAAGGTGAAGTATTCCAAAAACTGAAGTGTTAGGATTTAGGTATTTGTTTCCACTGATATTAAGAAGAGTTTCATGGCCTTGTATTCTCTATAAGTGTTCACCTCATTGTTCCACAGAAACTGGAGATGACTCAGGGATAGTTTTCAAACCCCAACTCATCAAACCAGTAATTTCACTGACTGCAACAAAGGCATTCATGCATGAAAGTGCTCATCACCAGGAATGTCTGGCTCAATGTGATTCTGAAAACAGTTTGGTTAGGGAAATACAAAAGCATTACTGTTCTCATTTTACAGTGCAGGAGAAGAGTGAAGCAGAGAAGGTTACTTTTCCCAAGACAAAAGCGAATACAAAGTAAAAGTGCTGTTCTATGTTAACAGTTTTAGACTACCCTGTTCACTAATTCATCTGGCATCCTTTGCTTGTAAGATCTGGAAAATAAATAAATGCAAATGAGAAAACAAACCAGAGCTCTTGGGCTAAATTTTGCAAATTTGGCCCCAAGTGGGTTTATTAACTCAGGAAAATATCATGGAAAAAAAAAAAATCTATTCTTGTGATAAAAATTTCTGAAGAATACAAATTTGCAGAGTATTAAGATGCTCTGGTGATATGCAATAATAGACAAAATGTGGAGAGTCCATTGTCATACCAATGTGAGGAATGTAATCAGATTGGTATCTTGTGACCCCTTGGATGCCATCTCAGAGCTCAACAGAAGACAGATGCTTTAAATTTTCAAAACACTTAACAACTCATAATATATGCTATGCCAAGGCATATTTTTTACTAAAGGCAGGAAGCTTTTGTCACTTACTTCAGTAGTAAGTTTGCCTCCCAGCTGAAAGTGCAACTGAATTAAAGGGTAGATGTGGCCTCACCCTAAAGAAGTAAACTAAAGAAAGTTTTAATTATTTCAGTGGGACTAGGACCAGGACTTTCAATCACCAGACTGTGAGGATAGCCAGAAAACATCTTCCCAAGCTGCAATGTATGCATTATATTATTTTTAGCTGTACACATTCTTCCTTATATTCACTGTATATTCACTGCTGCAAATACATATGCAAAGTACAGACACCGTTCCAGGCACAGTAAGTATATGATACATATAGCAGCACAACTGCTTCTTCAGCAGCAGCATCCTTTATGTTTTCAAAGCACTATGACAAGGCTGTTACACATATGCCCAAGTCATGCTTTGCACACATATATGGCTTCTTGGCTTTCATCTGCTCATACAGTTTGCACTGACAGTCAGTCTGACTATAACAGTAAAGACAATCATAAGCAGTAAAGATTAATGGAAGTGACATTATTTAAAACTATTAAAGGCACAAGAGCCACCAAAATTTAAACTAGATCCAAAATTATATCTTTCCCTCAGTGTGCAATTTGTGTAATAATAGTATGACAATGGTAAAAACAATAAGAAGCACCAAATATCCATAGGGGAAAAATGTGGGTAGGAGTAGGTTTTAATTTTTAAGTTTTCTTGTATCTTCACTGTAAGACATTGTTTTCAATCACTTAAAAATTTGCAAAGCTACAACACTACAACTGAGATATTGCCATGCTGCCCACTTGCCTCAAACCCTATGTTGTATCATAAGTATTTTCATCACAGTGAATAATTAATATCAATTTCCTTTTTCAAAATGATGACAACTTTGCCATTCTTATCATTATTGTAGATCTCACTGATCTATGACTATTTATCTAGACAGAGCATTTTAAAATGATGCTAGCCTGCATTTGTAGATGAAAAATCTAAGGTGCACTGACATTTTTCAATACACACATGAACACTGGACTTGGTAATTCAGTAACAGGACTTCTGGAGCCAGAATTTCCTCATACAACAGAATATATGCTTCTTCCTGGTACATTAACATTTCTACTTATTATCCCACTAAAACACATATTCACCTTTTCTCACTCTTCCAGGAATCCTTGGTTTAACTTACAAATATTTGCATCTTTTATCCTACCCCAGATTCCCTACCCTACCAACAAAATATTAACACCATTGCACTGTTTTTTTTGTTTGTTTGTTTTTGATATACCTATCGTCCCCTTCTCTGTACTATATACACTACATCATGCTGTACTACATCATGCCTGTAAGTCCCATCCAGTCAGGGACTGTGTTTTGAGTCTATAGTCAGGCACTACATAGCATGCACTGTGTTAAAGCTATTGGCAGGTGTCCTAAGCACAGGGCACAGTTCAATGAGCAAGGACCACTAGAACAATTCACAATTTCTTTCCTGCAATCTAAGCAAAATCTAAGCAAAGTGACATCTAAACTGCAACAAAAATCCTAGGTTTTATTTTTGACTACAGGCCAGATCTTCAGCAGCAGCTGCTAATTGCTCCTGTTCAGTGGAGTCCTGCAATTGGCACTAATTCTATGAAATCTCAGGAAGAAGTGTTAAAGACAAGCTTGGCTGTATCACAATGTTCCCATTAAACTACCTGTAAAAGATTTTGGTAGCAAATACCAAGGGTCAAATCTTTTCAGTTCCAGTTCAACCCAGGGAAAAATAAACTTGTTTTCAATTAAATAAAATGAATGTGTAGCAGTCAGAGATTTTCAAACTCATTTCCAACAGAAACATCACTAAATACTCTAATGTGTATATCTGCATCTTGGAAAAAGTATTGAAGGTTTGAAAATATCTGGCTAGGCTGGACTCAATATTCAATCAAATGCCTATTTTCTCATTTGCAATAGACCCCAACAGCAGCGAGTTCCACAGCGACTGGCTCAGTTTATATATTAATACAGTGAAAACTGCAGGTTTTGAGATGTTCCATCCTGTATTTCTTGCAAACCCATGATGAAAACCATTTGCAAGTATATTTTTTTCAGGCAAGAATACAGAGATTGTTCACTTTATGAATGAGTCAGCTGTAGGTTTAGTTTAACCTAATTTGCGGCTGCTTGACCATTAAAAAGCCTGCTGTAACTGTGTCATTAGGACTACACAGTAATCTTTTAAAAGAAACAACTATCTACACGTCTGTCCCATCCTGTGATATGGAATGAGGGTAGTGTGGATCAGCATATACTACAAATTGCTCCATAATGACTCACGGATTAGCTGGGTCTGCTTCAAACAGAACATTCCTGAGGGGTAAGGTAAAGCTGTCTTTAACAGAGACTTATCTGGAAAAGAAAAGAAAAAGGAGCATTCAGCTGCTTGCATGGATTGCACTGGGGTATTTTAAGTTCCTCTTCATCATCCTGTAATATTAAATAATTGTTTCAACTTAGTTCTGTAAGCCACTTGAATAGAGAATGTGGTCAAAATACATCCTTAAAGAGTATTAGCTGATGGTTGGTAAAATATTGATAACAAAAGAACCATTTCTCTATTTTCCAAGACACCTCAAGAAATGTTTGATTAGACTATCACAGGAGTAAGGGCAAGAAACCTTTACTATGCTGACTCCTAAAGGTCATTGTCATGAATAATGAAAACTTAAAACAAAAGGGTACTTTAATGAATAACGTTCTCAGGTACCATCTCAGAGTTACTAATGTTGTCTTTGACTTCCAATCAGAGGAGGATAGGACCTAAAGAAAAAAACAACATAGATTTCTGTTCCTATACAATGCTCAGGTTTTTAGCCAAGAAAAATGTTGTTGCATCTTTCCTGTCTTCTGATCTTCAGCAGTGTAAGGCAATTATTGAAATTAGCATTGCAATGTAAAAAGTGTTCAGAAAAAAAAAAAAAAAACACTATGTTTTTGTAGCTTTTGTAGCTTTTTATGGCTTTGTAGTTTTGCTAATTCCACATCCCTAGTGCCTGGATGAAAATCACAGGCTCATGACTGTATTTCTCTACCACTGATAGGAATTCTAAAACATTCTGTAGAAAGCAATAGAAAGGGGTCATAAATGCTACAGACTTCTGGATATTGGTGAAGCCATTTCTGTTGCCTTAATCAAGAAGGTAAGGAGAAAACAACTAAATACGTAAGCCTAAATAAATGGGTGTTTTGCCTGTATCGTACCCAATACTGGAGAGCAAAATCTAGAACAGGAAACTACTTTCTATGTTAAATCTAGTTCCTCATTATGCCAACCATGACATCACACAACCCTTTCAAAACTCTACTAATTCCTTTCAATAAACTGAAGCATGGATATTTTCTCATCAAAAACAGACTGTTTGAAAATACAGTAACTCTTCTGCTTATTTATACATGAGCGTAATGTTTGAACTTTTCACTTGCAGCTCAGTAGGGACTTTGATGATGAATATGAATCAAACAATGCTTCATATACAAGCAGAGTTTATTGCATTAATTTAGTTTCAAGGTGACAGGAAATGAATTATAATGGTGAAGTCGGTGTTAGGAGGAAAAATACTGAAAATTCCTAGACAGATGGAAATGCACAAGAGCAGTATTCTAAAAATTAAGTGGGGACCAACTTAGCATCACAGAAAACGAATCTGTGGAAATACATTCAGGCAGATGCTTAGATGCATATTTTAACATATCTGTAGATGCTATCCAACACTGCCAAGACAAAGGCCCAAACTCAACCTTTTTCACCTTCTTCTCAGCCTACCTGTAGGAATTTCACTTATCTATTCTGTCTAGTTCTGAAAAATCACACAAAACTCCAATGAATTAGGCTCTATTGAGGAAGATTTCTTCAAGAAGGGGCTATACAAATTTCCAGTAAGAAGGGGGCCATACATATTTTCCAAAGACTTTTGGCACTGCAATGGCATCCCTTTCAGATTTCCAGCAGCAGTCTACTTCTTCAGAAACCTTTAATCATCTTTGCTTCTGGCAAGACATCTGTTGGAAGTTTTGGAAAGCTGAGAATGAAAAAGCTCATAACTCTACAGAATTCACTAATAGAAAGTGAGAAATAAAACCTGCACAATATTACTTGAAACTTCAAAATGTGCTGATAATAAATGGAATCTGGCTAGAAACATTTTGGAGTTGCAGTCCTAAAGTAAGCATCTCCAGAGCTAGGTAAAGCAGTTTTTAAAAGAACGTAAGATTCTACCCACACTTTGACCTCCATCTGAACCCAACAAAACTGAGAACTTGCTCTGTATTCATGTAAAAAGAATCTCCTCTCTTGTCCCAAACCTACTTCTTTTCTTCTTATCACAGTTCCTAACTCTGTTGCTCCAGTTGTCACGGAATCTGCTACTAAGCACCTCTGGTGCACTGCATAACAGATTTGAAGTGTACTATTCCCAAAAAATGCTATAGAGAAGGGGTAGGTTACAAAAACAGAATCTCAAAATACGAGAAATTCAAGATCATTAACACCTAGAATTTCACAGAAGTTCTTGCATTCCTGCATCAGAAAATATTTACAGTTGCTGGGAGCAGAAGAGGTACTGATAGCATCTTGAAAGAAAAGAGAGGGGGGAAAAAAATGGGGCTTGCCGAGGAAAGACTTTTCAGTTCTTGCACATTTATGAAAACTGACATTCAAATTCTGAAGGTTCTAAACTTCATCCAAATTGATCTTATTTAAACTCCTTTATAAGCAATTCTAGATGATTGGATACTTCCAGATTTTAAGACCGTTCTCAGTCCTCTCACCATTGTTGGTCTTCCATTCTGTAACTACTAAAACCAAGTGGTTTTGAAATTATATCCAAGTTATGTTTGCAACTCACATTGTACACAATTAAACAATTGTGTTCTGTTAAACAAAATTATAATTTCTGCTTAAAATCCGTGTAGATTTTGACAAACTCAAATGCTACTACTGACTCAAATAATAGGCCTCATAAGTTTTGAACATGAATCAAAATTTAAACCCACAGCACACGTGTGTAGCTGTCAAAAGAAGAGGTGGGTATGATCATGTCTTCCTCTGCCCAGAAGCAGGAGGAGCAGCTTCCCATCCCTCTGGCAACAGCACTGATAGCACAAAGGATGATTTTTCTACTTCTGAATAGAGAAAAATTAAAGAGGAAACTTCTATTTCCTCATATTACATAAATCTAAAAGTAAAAATCTCAATTTTTATTTTAACAAAGCATGGTGAAAAAAAAGGGTGTATCTAAACTGTAGATTTTTGTGAGCAGATTTAAAAATAAATCTAAAGGAATCTAAATATCTCTTTGCTCAAAAAAATACAAAAATGTAAGTTAGTTGTCACATTGGAATATTAACACAAATATATCCATTACACAGGTACGTATATAAATGATAAATACACCCACTACAGATATAGTAGACTGAAGTATTTTTCATGCAGTTGATAACCAGACTCATCTTTGTATGATGGAATCTATAGAAGCAGAGGAGTAAGAATAGTAAAACTGAAAACTTTTAGTTATTTGCACCAACATGTGCAGAAATAGATGCATGTCAGCTGATGTGCAAGTCACAACTGTCTGTGATGATTGCAGAAATGAAAATACAGATTCATGTCTGCAAGCTCTGAAGATAAACCTGGGCAAGAAATAATTTGTCTGCCCCATGAAATTATTAGACAGTTAAAGACTGTTGTACCAGGATAAAGCCAAGACCCTCAACATCTACCCCCATAAAATACCAGAGAGACAATGGCAGAGGGAAAACTTCAATTTATTATTCTGTTTCTCAGGAGAAGTTGTTGAACTTCGGACACCAACACTCTATGGAGGTGATCTATAGGGTGGGCTACAGAGCTGCCTTTTCCAAACCTACTGAATAACATACACAGCAGATAAGATTCAGACTGAAGCTTTTCTTTACTCCTTTTCACAAATAGAAAATCAAAGTACTTACGTGATAAGCTACCAAGCTTCATGTCTTTGATTTCTAAATTGAAACGTGTTCAGAGCTGAGATGCCAGTTCTGGTGCATAAGTCAGAAGGCATTTGGTCATCATTAAAAAGCACAGTTATGCTTTCACCCTCTGAGAAGTATGAAGTTAACCATTACACCTTTGCTTATTTCTGCTCCAGGGTGCAGCTCTGGATAACTCCACCAAAGATCAATCCTCACTGGTACCTCTGAACAGCAGAGCATAAGGAAAAAAGATCCCTCTAACATATCCAGTGTGCCTGTCATGACAGGTCCCACCTGGTAACCCTTTGTTTTTGACCTTTTCACCTGTGGTGAAATTTAGTTGTTTTGAATGACAAAAAGTAAGATGGGTAATAATTAGGGCAAGTAGGAGCAGGCAAATAATGAGGCTTTCACTCACTCTCCTTAGCCAGTTATAAAGTTACAGGCTGGACCAATTGATAGGGGATGGCTAGGTTCCCTCTCAGTCTAGAAAAAATGCTCTCACTTCAACCATTGACTAATTAAAACATTATGACTAAATGCCTAATATAATCCCACTGTAAATGCAGTCTCCAATTCACTGCTGTGTGCCGTTTTTTGCACTTTTGTGTGCCCCTTAACAGGTAAATCAACCTTCAGTTGTACATAAGCCATGGGACACAACAGCATTGTGTGCAACTGTTGTAGAAGAGCCCTTTACAATTTCAAATGAGACATTGCCAATCCTCTGTTAAATTTCATGGGATAATTTAAAACATATGTAAATAGATGAATGGTTTAGAATTCTTTTGGATTGTATTATAAAGACAGCATGCCATCAATTGCAGTAACTGTTTTAACATGCAGAAAATGATAATAGATTGCAATCCCTCAAGTACAGCAGTGATGAATCATTTAGGGGTGGGAGAGGAATATTTTGTTATTTAAACTTGCTTCCCTCCTAGAATCGTATTCCCTAGGGCACTGTTGTTAAGAATGGTGATCCTAAATGAGAAGCAGGTAGTAAGACGATAGAAAAATACTAAGAAAGAGAAATGTTCATGCACTGACTTGATTCCCAAGACAAATCAAGTCTATAACTGACTTCACCTATAAAGTCTAACTTAGTTAGGTTGAACTTTTCTGAGATACTAAAGTACATCTACTGTATACTTATTTGATGTATTTCGGAGTGAAAAACACTATGTAAGCAGGAAGATTCCAAGCACTTACCTTTGCAAGATGGAAGACTAAATCAATAAAACTGGTATGTAAAAACCCAAGTGTACAACCTCACATTTCACATACCTCATTTCTAAATTCGTCCTCATTTCTTGCATACAAGTTGCAAATGTAAAAGCTGCTATTCAGCAATGGAAGGAAAGATATATATGCAGGCAGCTACAAAAAACACAGAGAGTAG